CTTTTTTATTAATACAAGGCCGTGTTTGGGTTTAGGAATGGTGGTTCTTGTCACGTTAAGCCTCGTTATGACGACGGGGATGACCTTGTTTCATGCAGTCGAGATGGCTAAGTGGGTGCTTTTAGGTCTTCATATTGGCACCTGATTCACTACAGATTTGTTTTTTTCTTTCTTTTTTTTTTGTGTATACATGCTGAAACCAAGTTATATATATATATATATATACACACACACACACACATGTAATAGCCTTGAGCTTCTGTTTTTTTTAACTCAGAATTGTGAGATTGTAAGTGGGTTAATCTTGATAATTAGTAACTTTAACCTGCTGCTGTGATCATGTTCATCGGAAACAATACAGTATATGATGTTATTTATTTATACATAATGTCTGATTTTCTTAATTCTCATTTTCGAATATCCAAAATCCAGTTAAAGAAAATGAAAATCAGGGTTAGTTCCCTGATATCTTTCTTCCTTTAATCGATATAGTTAGCAATATATATATATATATATATAATACCATATATGTTATCTCAAAACTAAATGTGTGTGCATATGGACACCATATATATATCTATGTATATATATATATATATATATATGTACCTGAGATTTTATACTTACAATTTACTTGTTATCGTTATCTTACTTGTAATTAAAATGGTAATCTAACTGGTATATTATTATCATTAGGAGAAGAGTAGTTCATAGGATTCATATAAATATATATAACTCTAAAATCCTCCTCACCAATCGAAGGGGAAGTTTGTCAACAATGCAATCCACAATTTGAACATATAATTTCTTGATAATAACTAATAAATACGAATAAAAAATATATCACAGAAATACAGAAGTATAAACACTAAGAGTGAGATTACTGTTAATCGTGTATATAACATTTTTATTTTAACGTTATCTTTTTTTCGTCAGTGTTAAAATAAAAAACTATAATTTCGTTAATTTTTTTAAAACCTACCACCCTATTTAATTTGTAAATTAAAGTATTTTAATAACTGAAAAAAAAAATATTTTTAATAAAATAATACTAAATAAATCGAGTAATCATTAAAAAAGATGCGTAAATATTTATTTTTGACTAAAACGTAACGACTCGAGATATTTATTTGAAGTAACCGAGAAAATATATTTTGACAATTATTATTATTAGGATAAAGTAGGATTTATTTTTCAACTCTTTAATTATTATTATTAGAAAAAATTAGCACTACTAGTCAATTAAAAGATAAGAAAGTCGTCTACTATATGTATCTTAATAATCTCATTGTTATCATTATATTAGAATTATTTATAGTCGTCATAATTAGTTTCTAATACGTATTAATTATTGCCACCCATTATTATAATAATTATTATTACTTTTTGGCTTTATGCAAAATACTTGTGTTAATTGTTAAAATTACCAAAACGCCGTCGTTTTGACGGCCAATTATAAAAACGAGGGAGTCAATGCACGTGCTCTTATACAAAATTTGTTTTTATAAATTTATATTATCTATTAATTGAAAGTTTCATGAAAAATAAGTAGCTTATTATTGTTTGTAATTTTGAATATCATTTGTTATTATTAATTATTTGCTAATTAAAAATGATTAATAAAAAATTAAAAAATTATTAATTACTAATAGTAAATATAATAGTAAAATATACCCAATAATTATAACAAGATATAGCACGTATAGTTTATTTAATTTAGATATAACTATGTTCGTAATATATGTTATGTATAGATATAGCCAATAATTATAACAATCTACATGTAACGGCTCTGAAAATTCAAAAGAAAATATATATAAAATTTGAGTGCGGAAGCGAAATAAAAGGTTAAGATTAATTTCCATTACACAATAACTTAAAAGTACTAAATAATATCACGGAATAAATTCTCTAAAAAAATACGAGAAATGAAAAATAATAAAGGAAACTATAAAATATCTAGCATGTACTCGCCGTCTTCTTGTGAATCGGGCTCGGGAACCAGGTCTTCCTGATCTGAAATTGTTAAATAAGGAATGAGGTATACTAGTACAGTAAGAAAATCATACTATATCATCGTCATAGAAGCAAATGTTCGTAGAAAACCGAAAATAACCAATGAAGCACAAATTTTAAAACAATACAATTATTTAAAATAAAACCACTTACCTTTTTTCTTACCATTGGAGAACCTGTGAAAACAACCTATAAAGATAATAACATCATACATATCACAATTTCATGCATAATCAGTAACATAAAATACATCATAAACCCGTATTCATTAGCAATAACTGGTTATCATCGTTTCTCATTTTTACCAGCCTATTAGTATCCATGGAGATCCATAAGGGTTCCCGCTACACGTGAATCATTCCCCTTAACAATCTTAACTCCAGGGCCGTCCTCATACCCCGTCCGGTATGAGCACCAAAATAATAAACTTCAATACCCCGTCCGGTATGAGGGTGAAGCAGGCCGTCCCCATACCTCGTCCAGTATGAGCGCCAAATGATCAAGTCTCCATACCCCTTCCGGTATGAGACAATGTTCACAGTAGGGCTCCCTATGAACCCGGTCCGTCGACCATCTCCCAGGATATCTAGTGAGGCTGTTATCTTATCTGTTTATCAAATCACATCCCATTCCTATTTGTCCTTAGTTTCCGTTACCAACTCAAAGATGAATACATAAACAAGTAACGTGCATCCAACAAAGCAAACATATATTATATTATCAAAATTAAACAGTAGTGAAGTAAGCAGTGATACATGAATTTAAAACCATAGAATAGATAAACCAGATACCATAATGCATTTAAACTGTAAAATAAATCAAACAGAATCAACAGAGAAATATGTCCGGTTCGGGCTCCATTAGCAACCGTAATTAATTATGCATATTTATTTAATTTGTACAAATACAGTATTATCATTTATTCAAACTTCAATTCCACGATAGGAAATAGGGTGAGGGGTCCTTACTTGATTTGACGTCAAAAACTAGATTGTCACTGCGCCTACGGGTGGTCTCTGGGTTCCCTGAATTTTTTTTCCTCGGGAACTGAAACGTGCTTACGCTACCTACACATGTCCCAATTAATCCAAAAATCAGACCCAGGGCCTACTCGGCCAATTTCAGAATTTTGGCACGGCGGTGATCCGCCTCGGGTTTACTGTTTTTGGCCGTTTTCTACCTAATTCAGCCAAATTTGCATCGGATCCTGTGAGAAAACACACTTAGGACCCTTGATGGGCCGAAAAAATGTAGAAAACAGAAACTCACCGGCGGTGGGGCTCTCCGGTGCGGCGACTCCTCTGGCTCACGTTGCGGTTGAGTGTTTTGCTCCGGTCAACCTGTAGAGGAGGAAACGGTGATCACAACGGTGGAAAATCACATCAAACGAGAATTGGGAAGGGCCTCATCGGAGGCGAATACCGAAACACCCCGCGGCGGCCCCGTTGAGCTTCAGCGGCATTTTTTGGCCAATTGGTCGGTACTTTCGCTCCGATTTGGCCCATAGGTGAGTTTAGAATCAAATTTTGAGCAAAAGGTAAAATTTTGACCTCGTTTGGCGACCAAAAATTGCTCTGGTGCGGCGGTCGGCTCCCTGGCGGCTGGGCTCTCTTCTCCGGCGAGGGGCTTTGGCGACTAGGGTTAGGGTTTGGGTGCGAATGAGGTTATTTATACCCATCTGCTTTTGATTTGAGCCGTCCATCACTTTTAATCTGAACTGTCTGATCGCGATTAAATAGAGAATTAATATGGACCGTTCATCGCGATTCAATCTGGGCCGTCCGTGCGCGTTTTTTATATGGGTCGTCCGTGTGCGCGGGAACGGATCTCAGCCGTTCGATCGCGCGTCCGCGGATCGCCCATGTGGCTCCCTCCCGCGTGGCCTCCCACGTCAGAGTCTCTGCCACCTGGCACGTCCTGGTTGGTCGGGGCTATTGACCAGACAGCTGACGTGGCACAACTTTTTTAAACTGCATTTTAACATTTGATTTCTGATTTTTCTTTCAAAAATACCCTCAAAATCTAAATTTTCACCCATTTTTCCCAAAATTATTTTCAATTAAATCCCTAAACAATTTTTACCCCATATTATTATTATTATTATTATTATTATTTCCATTAAATTAAATTTAATTTAATTTAAAATTACATAAATAATAATTATATTCATACAATAATAATTAATAAAAAAAAAAGAAAAGTTGGGTGTTACACTACAAGATAAATGAGATATTGAAAAAAAAAAGATAAAAGATTTATATAATGTATAATTATAGAGTTTGAAGTTAATTAAAAATTAATTATATAATAATATTTGTGATTTAAATCTTTTATTATTATTTTTAAAAATACTTTTATTGAATAAAATAATTAATTTTTAGGTAAATCACCGACTCTCGTTGACTTTTATTACAATTTTTTTTATTACGATTTGATACTTATTATTATTTTATTTATTATTTTAAACATCCTGATTGACTTATTAGAATATGTCTATATACTTAAAAAATAGTTTAAAAATATTTTTGATTAATTAATTAAATTAATAAATTAATATGAATATTTATAATCTAAATATTATTTATTAATTCGTGGTAACATTTTTTTAATGTTAATTTTTTAAAACTAGATTTGAGTTCATTCCTTTTTTTTATTGAATTAATAAAATCAATAATAAAATAATTTTTAATGTCATATATTGGATAAAAAAAATATTTCAATGAAATTTGTAATCTTAAATATTTTTCTTAATAAAATAAATTTTCCTTGTTATTTTTTTCCATAACCTAGAGTTGGGAACCCATGTTTTACCCTCTTAATATTTAATATTTAATTTAAAATTAGAAGAATCACAATTTATTTAACATAATATATATTGTAAAATTTGGTTATCTTATTTATTAAATTTCATATATTTATATTGTAACTGTCCAGATTTTAAAAGAAAAATAAATTATAAATTGAATGCGAAAGTGAAATAATAGTATTAGAGTTTACATTCTTTACACAATAATTCAAAATATCCAATAGGGTTACGAGAATGATATTTTTTAAAGAACAACGAAAAATCAAAGAAATAAATGGAAAGTAAACAACTGGACATCCTGTTCGCAATCATCTTGTGGATCAAGATCTGCATCTTGGTTCTTTTGATCTAAAATGGTTAATGAAAGAGTGTTACACTACCCCAGTAAGAATGTTATACTACCCACCGATACAAAAATGAAGGTTGGTAAAAATTATGAAAACAACTAATAGAGCTCTTAATTTAAGTAAATTCATTTATCATAAATAAATTATATACTTACTGTAACGAAATTTCTAAAACCGACCTATAGAGGCAATAACACAAACAACATCATAATCTCATATTCAATTAATCAAAACAACAACTTTTCCTTTTTTTCCTGCCTACTGGTATCCATGGGGGTTCAAAAGGATGTCCCCACTACGCGTGAACTCTTATTCAAATTTTCAATTAATCGGCCGTCCATATACCCTATCCGATATGAGCACAAAAAATACAATCTCTCAATACCCTATTCGGTATGAGAGTGAAACGAGTCGTCCTCAAAATACAAATTCTTTAATACCCTGTCCAGTATGAGACTACGTTCACAATAGGATTTCTTATATATCTGTTCTATCCACCATCTCTCAGGATATCCAGTAAGGCTACCATTTATTCATTTACTTAATCAAACAATTTTCTATTTACATTTAATTTTCAGTTTCACAATTTAACTGTAAATCATGCAAAACAAGCAATACAT